ATACGGCCTGCGATTGACAGAGGTGAGTAAAGTCAGAACAAATCTGTGGAAACACTCCTTCAGTGAGCTGATGGACCAGGCTCCCTGGGGAGACGGTGGAAGCAGAACATGTTATTTGTTTCAAAAGCAAATGAGATAGATTCCTGCTAGAAAATAATATGTCGGGATAGTGTGTATAGTTTGGGACACGACCTGTCAAGCGACCACCAGGATGGTGGAAGGCGAACTAAATGGACCTTGGTCTTCTCGCGCCAGCAAATTCTTATGTTCTTGTGGTCTTATGTGAAAGGCACCGTACAAAATGTAAAGATTTGGATATTTACAGTCATGTCGATGCAGGTAAAAACGGTATATAAAACAGATGTGCTAGTTGTGGTAACTGTGCAGTGAGTTGAAAGTTACAGCAAGATTGAAAGATTGCACAAAGCCACTGCGATTGATTTACGAATGTCCTGAACGTGGAGAGAAGAGACATCTCACTGTAACCTGGACTGGCGTAAAACCTCCCACAAGTTACTTCAGGTCCGGCAATTTTGGTAGCCGTAAGTTGATTTGGAAGTAGTGAATTCTCCAGATGTGTCTCAGGCCAAACTTCCCAAATTAAAATAACTTAATGGAGCACCACGTCTTGTCTCAGAATCCCTCTGTGACACCGTGAAGTACCAGCTAACGGGCTTTCAGCCTCTCCGCCCCCACTTTCCGGTCCCTCAAATTTTCTGCCTCCCGCCCGCCCCCCGCCGCCCCATCTCGTTTAAGGTCCGTGTACCTCTGAATTTTTTTTAAAGAGAATGTTGCCTGTCAAATGACTTTAGTACCTTTTAGTATTGTAGTTCTGTGTCAGCCTTTGCCAGCCTGGAGTCTCAGCTGTGAAAAAACTTGCCATTTATTTTTCGTTAAGGAAACCTGCACAACGTCGATGAGAGGCAAACAGAAAAGTGAGTGTGCGTCGCAGCAGAGCAGAATCAGCAGTTAGAACAGACCACCGACTGGAAAAGGGATCTGGGGAGGGAAAAAAAACCATGTTACAGCAGATAAAGAGGCCAATCTGGGTTTGAAACCCAGCTTTGAGAGACCTGAGCTGTTCACCCAGGGAGGTTTCACCGCGTTTCTCAGTGAATCTCTTTCCAATCAGTGATTCTGCGTGCACGGGCGATTGATTTTATTTTGCCCCGTAGATTTTGCACGCTTAGGCTCGTACACTGAAGTCGGCTAAATTTGTTTCATCCAAGCTTCGGAGACCTGACGAGTTTGGTTCAGCAATCTTCCCGTTTCCATTCTACAGTTTTGACTGATGTTACCGAAACCTTTATGTTGGACTCTGTGAATCAAGCTAATCAACTGGTGGTGGAAATCCATGGCTTTATTCCATTTTTTTTCCCCTTTCTCCTCCCCCCCACCCCCCTACCGACCTGCAATTTTTCCCCTCCTGTTCCAAAGACGCTGATTCAATGCTTCATGTTTGGGGTACGGTATTTGCACCTTATCCATGATTCACTCCCTAGAAACAGAGAAGGGAGATGGGGTGGGGGGGGGGGGGAAGGTGGGGAGGGGGATGAATGCAGCATTTTAATACAGATTTGATAATAATATTAAGGTGGGATTCAAAGATAGATAGGTGGGGGCAAGGCAGAGGCATCGAGACAGGGAGTTCCAGAGATAGCAGATGGAGTCAGGAAACATGCAGGAGGTCACGACTATCTACCTGAACTGACAGACAAGAATTCGGTTCAACATGTCCTGATTTGATGGATTCCCAGTTGTATTGTGCAGACATCTTTATCGAGTGGCACCTTTCCTACCCATTGAAGGCGCTTGCCTAATTTTGTAAGACGAGTCTTGACATTTGTGGACAATTGCTACTGAAGCTCCATCACGAGGAAGGAGTCCGGTATTGATCGGACATAGCAGGCTTTCCCTTTGATAGCACACTTATATTGAGGCATTCATGTTTGAAATGGCCTCGCTAAGGCGGGCAGCAGTGCGACTAATGAGCAGCAGCCGCAGATCAATTATAAATTGAATCAAAGCCAATTGTTGATAAATGGTTTAAATCGGTCACACACCATAAGAAAAACGATAGCTGGAAATGAAGATCGTTTTCATACAGCATTACGTACAATAATAGATTGCCCGTTCTGAGTCAATCTAAAACCAATTCAGAAATGGACGTTCAATATTCAGAGGTCTTTTTTGTTTTCAGGTGGAAACATTGTTGGTGTATACATGTTGCTTCTCCTCTAGATAAGTTCACAATGCATTAGAAATGTGATATAATATGATTCAGGAGCACTGCATTGTCAGAGGTGCCATTCTTCGGATAAGATGTTAAACCGACGACTCATCTGCCTATTTGGAAGGACATTAAAAGGTCCCATGGTGATCAGATTCAAATCCTTTTGAGAATCCTGCAATTTATATTCCACTGAGATGCCAAAAAACAATGTGTATGAGACATCATTCGCCTGTGTGCATGCCATCATTCTGGTGTCCTGGAGCTCAGTGGTTAGAGCTCTCGCCTCGCAAGCGAGAGGACCTGGGTTTGATTCCCGGCAGGGCGAAATGTTCGGCAAGTTTCCTTACTCCACACGCCTCTGTTTACCCAGCAGCAAGTAGGAAACCTGTTCATAGTCGATTGGCGGATCACTTTTCCGGGAATAATAATTCTTTCAAAAAAATAACAATTGGTTCATTCAATCTACGCGTGTTTGTGGGGATGCTGCTGCGCTGTGCAGATGTCTTCTCGATGTGGAAGGCCCTTTATTAAGTGCAGGGTTTAGGATTATTTGCATCGTACGAGCGCACCAACCTCACAAGTAGCACAGATCTGATTTGCCTATCAGTTCGAAATACCTACTGGGGCTCTCAGCAGGGGAATTTGTCCGACAGAATCCTGGTGAAGTAGAAGCCAGCGTGAACAGGCAGTTAAACAAATCTGCGCAACGTTTTCACCAATCATTTTTCATGCTGTGTATAACAGAATTAAATTGGATATCAACAATTGGCTTTGGTTGGATTTATATTTGATCTGTGACTGCAGCTCATTAGATGTCGCCAGTCTCCTTCCTGTTTGAGTGCGTGTACATACTGCATCCATCAATGCAGTTTAAGTCATTCTTCTGCCGCTGCCCAAGGATTTGCACATGACAGGACTGAAAATTAAGTCTTGGCTTTTGAAGTGTTTCCACCAGAAGAGAGTAATTAGACAGTATTTTTAATTCAGTACTTTTCTCTTGGAGAAATTGAGCAATCAGTAAATCATGTTGACAAACTATCAACGAAACTGTTCCTTGTTTCCCTGATCTATTTCAATATTATTTCAAACATTAGTGCGCGAAAATGCTGCTTCGTTTTAAAAAAAAATGAGCACTATTGCTTCAGGAAGAAGGTCCTGGAATTATTCCTCTGTTTCCATTGCCAATGCTGCAATTATACTGCAGAACAATAATAATCATAATAATCCTAACGTTTGCTTAGTGCTTCGCAGTGTAGACTGTAAAGTGCAGTGGCCGTGTGTCCCACAAACAGCCATGGAGTAAGCAGCCAATTTTATCCAGGAGATTGTTGGGCAGGACACCAAGAGGAACTCCCTTCCCTGTTCAAATACTGCAATGGACTCTTTATTGCGCACCTTTGGGAAAGAGATGACCTTGGTTTAACATCTTATCCAAAGGATAGAACCTCTTACAATCCCCCACCCCCAAAGCACTGCAGCTAAGACCATATAAATACCAAGCCTCAAGTCAACAACGACAACAATTTGCCTTTACATAATGTCCTTCACGAGGGGTTTAATGTCTTGGGGCAGTTGGGTAGAAGGTCCTTAAATGCTTCAGCAGTAGTTTAGCCGCTCTCACTGAGATGGAAACCACCCCTTTCTATACCAGGATACCAGGCTGCATTAATGGCATTAAAACCAGCATTGGTATTCAGGAAGGATTCGATCAAGTGGACCAAAGTGGGGCTTTCTTTTTTTCAACCATGTGAACTTGTCGTCTGATGTCCATGCTACAAATGTACGGTTTTCATAGAATAAACGTGATTAATTATCATAAACTGTGAAAGCGATGGGCGGGGTAACGTTTTATGGGGTCAAGATCGTGGGGTGTGATATTATCACTGGTGATAATTATCACATCAACCAAAAGCGCGTCATCAATTAAGCGTCAGTAATTATCACTGACCTCGCTGATACTGCGCGACGGTGAAAAAATCACTGGTGATGGTATCAGTGGTGAAAGTATCCCATGTAACGATTTGTACCTCTGTGATTGGCATTTGCCTCCCAAGTGTAATTGTGTTTTATTATTATATTATTATGTTCTTATTATATTATTTATTTTATTATATCATATAATTATTATTATGTATTATCATTATATATTATTATATTATTATATTTTTATTATATTATACGTTATGTATTTTATTATGTCAAATAATTATTATTATATATTATTATATTATATTGTTATTATTGTTATATTATATCGTTTGTGTCGTGCTGTCTGAGGTGACATTCTCATGCGTTAAATCTGGAAACTGCCTCCAGTTCACTAATAATCCAAGCTTTCACATCACTGAAAATAATTGCACATTGCAAGTTTGTGGTTATATCAGTAAACACCTTCATCCTATGACCGTTAAGGGCTGTATTTCCATTAAATGATCATATTGACTCCTTCATTTTTTTTAACACAAAACACGCGGATCCACCCCACTTTAGAGCCTACCCTGTGAAGCCTCTTCGGACGTCCTTCCGAACTGAAAGGCGCTGTACAAATGCAAATTAGTATTGTATCAAATGCGAGGAGAATTACTGTTAACAAGAGTTTTCCGCTTCTTTTACTCAAGCATAATAATTCTTTATAGTGTTTGACGTTGGCCGTGCTGACGCTCATTCAGTTTTTTTCTCCTTCCCGGTTTTCCTCTTACGGGCAAAATGAGACCTGAGATCAAACAGTGGTTGACTCACTTCTGTCATTCCTTCCAATTTTTTCCAGGTGAAAGGCGGACACTATGCTTTTGTTTGGGATGTGGCGGTGCTGGAATATGTGGCACTAAACAGTCCTGACTGCTCGTTTTTCACGATTGGCAACACTCTGGCAGACAGAGGATACGGGATTGCTCTCCAACACGGAAGCCCATACAGAGACATATTCACTCAAAGGTAGGATTGCGGAGTTTTGCACTGTGCCTCGTGCTGTATGTTCACTCCAGGCTAAAACGACCGCTAGAACTGCTGGAACGGAGAAGACGTGATAAGGCGCTGTATCAAATGTAATTATTATTGTATTGATTGTTACATGAGGGCCCAACCTCGATCTTATCCCTCGTCTCATCTTGCGACACTTTCCCCATATCCTTCAATGTTCTCCCGCAGCCGTGTGTTCAGTTATTTCTTGTATGTGCGCTTGGCGGTATAACAGGCACCACAAGGGAGTCTTCACTTGTCACTTGTAGTTCTGAGATGTTAAACTGAGGTCCCTCCGCTAAGTGGGTGTGCACATGTGGAGTCCTGTAGCTCAGTGGTTAGAGCACTCGCCTTCCAAGCGAGACACCTGGGTTCAGTTCCAGGCAGAGGGCGAAACCTTGAGCAAGTTTTCTTACTCCACACACCTAATAATAATCCCTCCAAAACAATAATAAATTGGTCATTTTCAATCCGCGGCTGTTCATGGGGACACTGCTGTGCGCAATTGGCTGCTGCGTTTCGCCCACAAATATATAGTCAATTCACTTTACAGCCTATTCTGTGAAGGGCTTTGAGACGTCGAGAAGACGCAAAAAGCGCTTTATCAAATGCAAGGATTATTATTATTATTATCATTATTATTATTATAGTTTGCTCCCCAACAACAGACTGTGGCAGAGAATTCCACGCTCTCACCATTATCTGGGTGACAAAGTTCCTCCTAATCTCTGTTCCGAACCTCCCAGTTATGATTTTAAATTATGCTCTCTCGTTCTACGCCCCTGACTACTATCCCTATCTAAGCCTCTGGTCATCTTACATAACTCTACCTATCATATCCCCTCTTAGCCTTCTGAGCTCCAAACAAAATAGCCCCAGTCGATCTAGCCTATCCATATAAATGGATTTGCTCATTCCAGGCAACATCTTGGTGAATACAGTATGTATTGCCTTATCACATTGCTGAGACATCTCAAAGGCTCTTCATAGGATATACTCTGACGAGTCGTGACAAACGGCCATAGAATGAGTGACCAATTTTATTCGGGGGCAATGTTGGCCAAGACACCTGGAGAAAAGGCGCGGTCGAAGAGGAGAGTCTTGAGGTGGGTTTTGAGGGAGGCAAGGGAGGGGGCAAAGTGGAGGGTCTGCAGGATGGTGGTCCGGAGGGCGTGGGCAGAGGGTGGTGGGCCGGGCTAGGCAGGGGACGTGAATCAGGCCGAGGCACCTCGGTTTAACAGCTCAGAACTACAAGTGACAAGTGAAGACTCCCTTTTGGTGCCTGTTATAATTTAGAGCCGCGCCAACATGGGAAGAAAGCCCATGGAACTGGTGAAGTCGCTGCCGGCTAGGGAAAACAATGCAGAGCTGTCAACATCAAAACGTTGGAAATGTCATTGATAACCAACAGCAACGCTGGCTGCAAACCTACTTGAAGGCTCTGGAGTTGTTTTTATTTGTAAAATTGACATTAATCAAAACAGATCACATATTTACAATCCAAAGGTAGCAGTTACTGTCCCTAATTAAGTGACGTGTGGCAGATTTGGTTATTGGCAGCTTGCCTGTGCGTCACTCAGTCTGTGCCATTGTTGACCAACTTATTTGCAGTGAAGCAAATCTGATGTTTGTATAAAATGTCTGCAGGTTAATTTGTTTTTGAAGGGCTCCTGCTCTATATCGTATGTGCAGACAGGCCTCAACTCTCCTGGATTTCGGTGGGGGGTGGGAGGGGAGATTGAAGCAGAAATCTTGCTTCTACTCCATATTCAGTGACTGCTGTTTATAGCACTCAAGTGTGAAACAATATAGCATAACAGCACAGGTGGCGGAGAAAGGACCAACGCAGGTGGTGGTTTTGTAAAGGTCAAAATGGAACAAGGTACTGCCAACTAAAATGGGTTGTGGCTATTATATTTAGATGCAGATACATCGAGGAATCTTGTGTGAGACTGAGTGGGTTGATTACATAGACTAATGGTGTTGACAGTGCCTGAAATTTTACTACCTGTGTCGATCTCTGTCAGATGACTTGAAGGATTGGCCCCTGAAGCTCTACATGGTTGAACAGCTTGTCCACACTTACTAGCTGGACTCGCATGTGAAGAAAGCCGACTCGGGTGACATGTAGTGGGATCTCTGGGACCAGCCAGTAGTTGCTGTTTGCTAAACAACAGCAACAACAGCAACAACCGGCTGTAATCAGAACATCTTTTAGCCGCGATGCTTATTTCTTTCATTGATCCAGCAACACAGACTCACAACTAGAAAATAAGCCGTGTTAGACCTCTATTAACTGCAACCCAGTTGGAGACAGGACCCCACCCCCGCACGACCTGTACAACACACACAATGCCCTAACTATGGTTATTTGACTTGTACACTAATTAGGTGTCAGCCTCTGTTAATCTGACCCATTTTGCTTTCCATCCTACTGCAGTTTGGCTCCACGCGCGCGAGTCCAATAGCTTGTCCAAGTGCCGTTATTCACGTGCGAATCACGACTGAGATAGAGAGGCCATTTACTACAGGGGAATGGGGCATAGCCGAACCCAGTCCATTCATCACACACACCCACTTATCCGATTGAGGTCTCTGGATAGTAGTTAGGGTAGGCTGAGGCCAAATGTAGCACCCTGATTGCTGCTTTAGTTAACATCTGCTGATACAGAGGGAGGGATTGGGTTGAATAATGTTTTCAACTCTGGAACCTCTAATGGAAGTGGGTCAGATTGATGACTTGAACGTTTTCTTTCACTCTCCTCTCTCTCTCTCTCTCTTTGAAATAGGTTTAGGTTAATCAATTGGCTCACCTCCAATTGAGGAAGTTGCTAGTCCATAATTCTGTGCCATCTTTATGTCATTAACCATCTCGCTCAGACAGACTTTAAGAATGGAGATGTCACACACCTTTGAGGTCAGGTTCAATGGGTATTATTCAGGCACTGTGGAGTCCTGTATCTCAGTGGTTAGAGCACACGCCTCGCAAGCGAGAGGACCCGGATTTGATTCCCGGCAGGGCGAAACGTTGGGCAAGTTTCATACTTGACACGCCTCTGTTTACTTGGCAGTAAGTAGGAACGCAGTTGTGAGTCGATTGGTGGATTGCATTTTCTGGGGTAATGATTCCTTCAAATTAACTTGCCAGGTTTGCAGCGGCACCCTGTGCAGTTTTAGCTGGTTAAATTTCAACAGGACACTCTTTTGGTTCTTTGGCCACCTGTGCCTAGTACACTCTGCATATTAAAAATAATAATATTAACAATTTGGTCACTCAATCCACGACTGTTTGTGGGGACGCTGCTGTGCGCAATTGGCTGCAGCGTTCCGCTCACAAAATAAACAGTCAATTCACTTTACACTATATTCTGTGAAGCGCTTTGAGACGTCTCGAAGACATCATTGAGTAGTCCACATCATCCCACAGCTTCCTGCCTTGCCATCCTTTCTCTGGCGCCCGATGTCCATGTATGTGAGGGACTACTATTTTGTTAAACACAGCTGTAGAAATGCATCTGAAGTGTCGGAAGATACCAATAAATGCGCTACCAGTATGTTCCAGCACTGCATGTGCATTTTTTGCAACACCCGCATTGTAATCACAGAAATTCCGACTCGCTGCACTCCATCTTTTTCTCGAAAGCTTTTTCGAAAAGTTCCATGGGATCTCTAACGTCCACCCGTACACGCAGACAGGACCTCGATTTAACGTCTCATTTGAAAGACTTCAAAGTTAGGATTAAATGCAACAATTTGTGATCCCTGGATGCTCTGAAATACTGCATGGAATAGATCTAGACTAGGATGGACTTTCTTCCCAACAGTGCCAACCCAAGTCCTATTGATCCAGGTGGAAAGACATCAGATCCAATCGCAATTAGCAGTGGAGTACAAAATCTTGCCTCAAGCAAAGAATCATCTGCAATGTTCTGGTTTCCAAGCTCAGCATATTAAATCAATCCACCGATAAACACCACACAGAGATTGCAATATATTTTAGTAACTGTATCATCCTTCCATTCAAAACGGTTCTGCTGAATGCTCTCTGATATTATTGTTCAGACTGAGATATTGAATGAATGATTCAATGGGCTGTGGTATAAAAGTTTGCCTATTGGCTGTTTTCATCTACTTTTTTATAGAGATCATGATTTAAACATAACACTGATCCACGCATAACATGTTTTGGCTGAGTAGTTTTCTGTTTAGCAGGGTTAACCTGTCTGATGCATAATTCATGATGCATAATTCAGCAGCAAATACATCATGAATATGCATGGAGATTTATGTGCTGCAAATTTGTATTCATTCATTTCTCAGGAATCCAAAGTAAACTACAGGCGTTCATTAAAAAGAAATCTGATACACATTAACTTCCATATTACTGACGCTGATCAATTGTTTACTGGCTCTGCGTGCCTCTTTTCCGGAGTAAACTGTTCCTTATTGTTAGACGTTCTTCCTTGCCAGTCGGGGGTGGGGGAATGGAAATTGAGGAGGTAGAAACAAGCTACTCTGCCTCAAAGATGGCACGCTTGCTAATGGAATATTTGTATTGAGTCAATTCTCCGCGGCGATCAAAGTAGTCAAGTTCCAGGGCCCGGCAGGCCTCCAAGGGCATTGCTGGTGAAAGATGAGCCAGCCTAGTTCATCGGGAGGGCTTGCTCCCATTTCGTTCCTGTTAAGGTCTCCAAGCCAAAGCCCCAATAGATAGGTTGGTCAAAGCTGGACGAGTGGCAGGGAGCTTGCCACACAAAGTGCTCAGAACGACAAGCTGCGGGGTTTTAACAGGTTAAACTCCAGCCGTACCCCAGGGCATATTTTGGGATCCCCAGTCTTTGGGTCTTGCGCTTCGTATTTAGTGGGATTAGGTTAAACAGTGAAAGTGCCTCCAGGGAGAGAGTGTACCTTCCATTCCAGGCCGATGGAAATTTGCGGCAACTGTGGAATTCTCAGTCTGATTTCGATGCTCCTAA